CTGTGTTTGATTATCTTTTTTATACAGTCATAGCACATTGCTACTCGTGTGATATTGCTCATTTATGTGTATATATATATATATATATATATATATATATATATATATATATATATATATATATATATATATATATATATTTTTTTTTTTTTTTTTTTTACCTTGATAAGTAGCTGAGCCCCCCAAAAATGAAAATCCTAAAATCGCCTCTGGTGGAAGATGATTTACGGTTAGTCATGTCAGGAATCCAACCATGTTGTCCTCACAGTATTAGGCTCAGCCATCACACTGAATCAGGTAAGCTGAATATTTATGTTTCAATGTAATCAATGCTACGCTTTAAACGCAGCAAATGTCTAAAACCCTGAACTAGGTTGCTGCTGGAAGTGGTGTTAGTGAGTCCAGCAGGTGGCGCTTAACTGCGGTCTGTGTGGATCCTAATGCCCCAGTATAGTGACGGGGACTCTATACTGCTCAGTGAGCTTTGTCTTTCGGATAAGACGTTAAACTGAGGTCCAGACTCTCTGTGGTCGTTAAAAATCCCAGGATGTCCTTCAAAAAAAGAGTAGAGGTTCAATCTGCCTACTGGCATCTGTCCATCATGGCCTCCTAACCACCCCTATATCATAATTGGCTTCATCACTCTGTCTCCTCTCCACCAATCAGCTGGTGTGTGGTCTGGAGCAGTATGGCTGCCTTCGCTTCAGCCTGGTGGATGTTGCACACTGGTGGTGGATGAGGAGATTCCCCCATTGTGTAAAACACTTTGAGTGTCTAGAAAAGAGCGATGTAAATGTAAGGAATTATTAGTACTATTTAAGAAATGTTACCAATTACAGATTTTACCCAAAACATACATTTAGGCCTAATCTGGGTTCATAAACAATATGAAACATATACAGTCAGGTGCAAACCTCTCATATATATAATATATATATATATATATATTTTGTAAATCATGAAAAGTATTTTGCATTTACATATGCTTCTGACAAAAATCTAAATATTGTCTGATTTAAACAATAATTTTTGTAAACAATCAATAAATAAATAAAATCATTATTTTAATTATTTTTATATTTGTATTTTAATTGATTAATTTTATTTATTTATTTATTTTTTTTATATATATTTAATTTTTTAAATATTTTATTTATCTTTTTTGTAAATCCTGAAAAGTATTTTGCATTTTAACATTTTCTTTTGGGTGAAGCAGTGGCGCAGTAGGTAGTGCTGTCACCTCACATCAAGAAGGTTGCTGGTTCGAGCCTTGGCTGGGTCAGTTGGTGTTTCTGTTTGGAGTTTGCATACTCTCCCTGCATTCACGTGAATAAAAAAAATAATAAATTGTGTTTTAAACAATAAATAAATAGATAAATAAAATCATCTTTTAATTTTTTTCATATTTTTATCTTAAATAATAAATGTATTTTTTATATTAATCCATACTTTTTTTTAATTTCTTTTTTCAATATTATAAATTTTTCTCTCTATCTATTTTTTTTGTAAATCCTGAAAAGTGTTTTGCATTTTTACATTTGCTTCTGGCAAAAATCTGAATATTTCCTGTGTTTTAAACAATTTATAAGTAAACAAATAAATATACAATTTTTTATTTTTACATTTTTTTAATTAATTATATAGTTCATTATGTAATTTATTTAACATTTATTTATCTATGTTTTTCTTATTTTGTATTTCTTTGTTTTTCATTTCTTTATTTATTTATCATTTTATTTATTCTATATATTTTCTTTTCTATTTTGCATTTTTACATCTGAACATTTTTTGCAAAGCAATAAATAACTGTAAAGCAATAAATAAATAATGAAGCAATACATTTATGAAGCAATAAATAAATGTATTAATAAAATAATTAATTAATTAATTAATTATTAAAAATACTATATTAATCAATTATATATATATATATATATATATATATATATATATATATATATATATATATATATATATATATATATATATATATATATATAATTTATTTATTTATTTTTTAATGTATTTATTTATTTATTTATTTGTTTATTTATTTATTGTAAATTCTAAAAGAGTACTTTGCAATTTTACATTTGCTTTTGGGAAAAATTTGAATATTTCCTGCATGTGCTTAAAACAATAAATAAATTATATATATATATATATATATATATATATATATATATATATATATATATATATATATATATATATATATGTGTGTGTGTGTGTGTGTGTGTGTGTGTGTGTGTGTGTGTGTGTGTGTGTGTGTGTGTGTGTGTATATATATATATATATATATATATATATATATATATATATACGCGAAATTATTGGTTAATTTTATTTTATTTTTTAAATTAATTATTAATTATTTTTATGTATTTGTTTGTATTTACTTGAGTAGCTATTTATCTATCTTTTTGTAAATCCTGAAAATTATTTTGCATTTTCCCATGTGCTTCTGACAAAAAAATCTAAATATGTTCAGCATTTGCTTTAAACAATAAATAAATAAATAAATAAACTTTCAGCTAGATTTTTAGATATTCTGATCTTGCTGAGCTGACCTTGCTCTATAAATCTCCTAAAAAACTATACAAATTTTATTATTATTATTATTATAATAAAATAAATTGTTTATTAAAATATCACTAACACACATACATATATACACACACACACACACACAAGTTTCACAAGGAGCTTCTGATTCCTGTTTTTCATTACAAAATTATTTTTAAAAGCAACGTATTGTGCAAGGCAGCCGACAGAAAGTGATCACACAAACACACTTCCTGTTCCAGCCTGGCTTAAATAGAGCCTTTAGTGTTTTATATCTTACATCATTATATTCATGTTTGGTGTTAAACTCAGCACTTTTTGTACATATTTTGTAAAAACATCACACTCCATATTTATAAAGTGACATGAGAACAGTAGAAGGTCACTGGTTCGAGTCCCGGCTGGGTCAGTTGGTGTTTCTGTGTGGAGTTTGCATGTTCCCCCCATGTTGGCGTGGGTTTCCTCTGGGTCCTCCGGTTTTCCCCACAGTCCAAACACATGTGCTATAGGGGAACTGATCAACTAAACTGGTCGTAGTGTATGAGTGTGAATGAGTGTGTATGGATATTTCCCAGTGATGGGTTGCAGCTGGAAGAGCATCCGCTGCATAAAACATATGCTGGAATAGTTGGCGGTTCATTCTGGTGCGGCAACCCCATATTTATAAAGGGACTAAGCCAAAAAGAAAATGAATGAATGAATGAGAACAATAGAATGAAGCAAAAATATACAAAAAAAATTTAAATTATTATTTTTTATAATTTATTTATCTATTTTTTTGGAAATCCTGAAAAGTATTTAGCATGTTTTACATTTGCTTTTGACAAAAATCTGAATATTTTCTGTTTTAAACAATAAATTGTTTTGGACAATAAACAAATAATAAAAAAATAAAAATAAAATAAATAAATAAATGAAATTAATTAATAAAATACATAAATAAATTTAAATGAAAATTATTTTTCATTATTTTTGTTTTTATATTTGTATTTTAATAGATTCATTTTTTGTTATTAAAAATATGCATTTTATATATTTATTTATTTATTTATTTTTATTTATTTATCTTTTTTGTAAATGCTGAAAAGTATATTAAAATTTTGTTTAAACAACAAATAAATAAAATCATTGTTTTTTCATGTTTTTATTGTAATTAATAATTGATTTATTTATTTTAATTAATTATATAGTTTTATTTGTTTTTATTATTTATTTATCTCTTTAACTATTTTTTTGTAAATCCTGAAAAGTATTTTTACATTTGCATCTGACAAAATTTTTTATATTTTCTGTCTCATAAACAATATATAAATAAAAATATAAATAAATAAACATAACTATTATTATTTACAATTTTTACATTTTACATTTTTTTTATTTTGATTAATTAATAAATTTTCCCTGTTTCCCCAGTCCAAACACATGCACTATAAGGGAATTGATTAACAAAATTGGCTGTATTGTATGAGCTTAAATGAGTGTGTATGGATATTTCCCAGTACTAGGTTGCAGCTGGAAGGACATCCGCTGCATAAAACATATGCTGAAATAGTTGGTGGTTCATTCCGCTGTGGCAACCCCATATTCATATGAGAACAATAGAATGAAGCAAAAATGTACAAAAAATATGTAAATAACATGATGAATTATATATATATATATTGTAGTTAGAAAGTTATATTAATTTTTAAGAACTCATTTGTTGCGAATACATAATAAAATAGGTTATTTTTAAATACAGTTCTATAAATTAATAAGAGAATAAAAAACTATATAATTTAAAGTAAATACTATAGTAAAGTGTATTATGCTGTACGTATTGTTACAATTTGTCCAGCATACTGCAGTGTCAAATATAATGAACTGATAATAAATACTGTATTATACATTATATTTTACTACAGTAAACTGTGGTGTATTGTAATATAATACACCATTTATTTGTATAAAACTACAGTATTGGCTCATTTGTTTATATCACTATAGTTGCTGTGTTACTATATTAACTATATAATCGCCACAACAAATCAATTCAAGTAATTTACTGCAGTATAGTTCAAAAATACCACAGTATTTTCTATAAATGACTAATAATTGCACTATATGCTGTGAGTATATTATATTATTATTATTATACTCTGTGTGCTGTCGCTGCTGTCCGGCAGGTGTCGCTGGCGTCTTGCATCATCGCGGCTCTCAGAGGGCGTTTACTTCAGTCTAAGCAGATTCACAGTGAAAAACGCTCAAATACCTGCACATTTACAGTGTTTTTGTGTTTATAATGTTTAATCTCCTCATCGAGTTTTTCATTTGTCTCATTCCGCGCGGAATCGACTGACTAGCGCTGAAATAACGGTCCGGTGACGTCAGTCACGTGATTTGCATATCGCGCCTTATATATATGCCGTGTGCGCGCTGTAGCTCACACTGCTGCATCCGCTGGAGGAGAACACACACTTCAACTACAGACACAACTCTGGTAACCACCACTTTGATTTTATTGCGAGTAAAATGCGTACATGTTGAATTGTGTCATGCATTTTTCGTTTTTACACTCGGATAGTCTCTAACGTAGGGATAATTGTGTTTTTAAACGCGTATTTTTTTAAAAAAGTAGACACAGTTGTAATATTATAAACGTATTTAATCATCATACAAAGTGCATCAGAGGTTGTTATGACGTAAAATTGAAAAGTATCGTGTGTAAAAATGCGATTGTGAGGGTATGTGTGTCGGAGACAATAGATGCGTGTAGTTTCTTTGTTCAGGAATGAATAAAGCCTCCGCCTGTTCAGCGCCAAATAATGCGCAAATCTTGGGGGAAAATGTGCTCAGATTACTGGAAGAGCCGAAAGGCGGATTTTCCTGATAGAAACGGAGATATGAGGTGAAATGGGAGAGAATGAGCAGGAAAGGGCGGTGGTTTCATAAAACACACTGAAGACTGTGATGCAACAGCAGCCCTTTTTTCACCACAGTTATTGCATAAAACACAAAGCAGAGGGAGCTGAGCTTTCAGATTTCGATCTTTAATGCTTTTTAGCACACATTTAGGTTATTTTTTAGTGTTTTATCAATGCATTAGCATGCAATTTTTTTCAGATTAAACAAACAAAGGTTTGTTCACTAGGAAATGCCCTATTGTCTTGTGATATCACTGATGTGAATATTAATAATGGATGTTTGTCTCTCTGTCTGCATGCAAATGTCTCTTTGTGTGCGTGTCATCCTTAACAGCGAGCATTTCCTGTCATTTCCTTTTTCAGACCTACTGCAAACATGTCTGACAAGCCAAATCTCGAGGAGGTGACCAGCTTTGACAAGACCAAGCTGAAGAAAACAGAAACTCAGGAGAAAAATCCCCTGCCATCAAAAGAAAGTAAGACTTTTACTTCATTAGACAACAAAAATACATGCATTTATTTAAAAAAAAAAAGGCATGCATGCATGCATTGACGGAACCCTAATGCGAAACTAACACTTCTTCTTTTTCCTTCCAGCCATCGAACAGGAGAAGCAGGCGGGTTCATCATGAAGCCTGCTCAACACACTTCTATGCACTGTACATTCCACATTGCCTTCTTTTTCACGTCTTTTCGCTGTTTAACTTTTAACGGATAAATATGACCTAAGTCGCATTGTGATTGGACAACCAACCAAAAAAAAAAAAAAAAAAAGAAAAAAATGCAGACGTCCGTACAAGCCCTTTGTTTGTGTGCCCACGTACTCCTCTTTTTGTAAGCGCACCGCTGGTATTCGGCTGAAGTTTTGCTGATATGGATGAGCTTCACCAGTTTCACTGCTTGAGGAGTGGAGAGAGGGGCGGGGCTAAGAGTTTGAGTGACACCTAACAGAGACTCGCTCTTGTAACATCTCTTGTGACCTTGGTTGACTTGCTCAAATGCTTTAAAGTCATGCAGTGTATTTTTTGTTTTTTTTGTATGTTGACGTCTTGGAATGCACAACTTTTTGTTTTGTAATGCAAATAAAGATCTGTAATATTCAGATGGACACCTTTTTAAACGTTTGTTCTGTGCTTGTCGCTTCAGCCCACACATCTTATTCGCTAATGCACTTCACTTTGTTATTAGAGACTTAGCCTAGGCAAATGTTTTAGGTAACATTATTTACTTGCAGTGCAACATATATTGATCATTATTTGGTAATTATCGTACATTAAACACATTCTTGTTTATAGTTAACTAGTATTAAGTTAACTTATGGTCTTTAATATAGATATTAGTATAAGTGATGCTTTATGAGTGTTGTTATTAAACATTAAGGCTAACAAACCCTTCTTATAATACACAAACAAATACCATTTATTTCCAACCACATATTTTAGAGTAGAACATAGATTATACATGCATATATATAGTCAAAAACAGAACTATTAGCCTTATTTAATGTTAATTATGTCATTTTTTCCCCCTAATCAACATATTTTTCAATGCATTTCTAAACATAATAGTTTGTTCTTTGGATAATTAGACAAATGTATTTATATTTCTAAAGGGGGCTAATAATATTGGCCATAAAATGGCTTTAAAAAAAATAAAAACTGGTTTAATTTCAGCCGAAATAAAACAAATAAGACTTAATTCAGAAGAAAAAATATTATAGGAAATACTATGAACAATTCCTGAATCTGTTAAACATCATTTGGGAAATATTAGAATTAAAATGCATTTAAATGCACATTTAGTTTATTTATTTACATTTTTGTCTATGCAATACCAAAAAAAAAAAAAACTACTCTAATGCAGACGCACATGTACATGCAAAATTACTTGCAATCTGTGCAAAACAATCCTGAAAGTATCATGCATTTGAGTTTTATTGCTCTAATCAAATCTTTGTATTTGATGCCAAGTGAATATTGTCCACTATTGACCTGCGCTGGCAAGTTTTGACCCTCATCTGACCCTCAGAAAAGCCTGAAGGCAAATGAATTTCAGGACACGCCGGACGCTCGATAGTCCTCAAGGACAAAAACTGTGATGAGGGCTGGATCAGTGCGCTCGCCCGAGCACTAAAACCTTCATTAGCAAGACCATTACACTTTATAAAAGACTGTGAAAACATTCCTGGGTGTCATATGAGCTGTGATTGATTATGTTTGTTTAAAAGATTCACAGTAGATACAGGATAACTTAGTATTAATTAGTAGTAACATGATTTGATGCTTACATTTTTTTGAAGTAAAAGCATAGTAACTATGTAACTACGGAAATGAAGCATGGTTTTACTATGGGATTTAAAGTAAAACCATGGTCACTACCAAATGAAGTATGGTCTAACTATGGCATTTGAAGTAAAACTGTAGTAACTACTAAATGAAACATGGTTAAACTACAGAATTTAAAGTAAAACCCTTGTAACTAGCAAATGAAGCATGGTTTTACTAAGGCATTTGAAGTGAAACTGGGGTAACTACAAAATTTACCATAGTTTTACCGTTGCATTTGAATTAAATCATAGGAACTTTAAAATTGACCATGGTTTTACTACGTCATTTAAAGTAAAACTGTAATAACTACAAAATAAAGCATCGTTGTACTACGACATCTGAAGTAAAACTGTAGTAGCTGCAAAATGAAGTATGGTTTTACTACAAAATTTGAATTTAAACCATAGTAACTATATAATGAAGCGTAGTATTTAAAGTAAAACCCTAGTAACTACCAAATAAAGCATGGTTTTACTACGGCATTTGAAGTGAAACTGTAGTAACTACAAAATTTACCATAGTTTTACCATTGCATTTGAATTAAATCATAGTAACTTTAAAATTGACCATGGTTTTACTACGTCATTTAAAGTAAAACCATAGTAACTACTGAAAATAAAGCCTAGTTTTACTACAGCATTTGAAGTAAAACTGTAATAACTACAAAATAAAGCATCGTTGTACTACGACATTTGAAGTAAAACTGTAGTAACTGCGAAGTGAAGTATGGTTTTACTACAAAATTTGAATTTAAACCATAGTAACTATATAATGAAGCGTAGTATTTGAAGTAAAACCCTAGTAACTACCAAATAAAGCATGGTTTTACTTTGGCATTTGAAGTGAAACTGTAGTAACTACAAAATTGACCATAGTTTTACCATTGCATTTGAATTAAATCATAGTAACTTTAAAATTGACCATGGTTTTACTACGTCATTTAAAGTAAAACCATAGTAACTACTGAAAATGAAGCATAGTTTTACTACAGCATTTGAAGTAAAACTGTAATAACTACAAAATAAAGCATCGTTCTACTACGAAATTTGAAGTAAAATTGCAGTAACTGCGAAGTGAAGTATGGTTTTACTACAAAATTTAAATTTAAACCATAGTAACTATATAATGAAGCGTAGTATTTGAAGTAAAACCCTAGTAACTACCAAATAAAGCATGGTTTTACTACAGCATTTGAAGTGAAACTGTGGTAACTACAAAATTTACCATAGTTTTACCATTGCATTTGAATGAAATCATAGTAACTTTAAAATTGACCATGGTTTTACTACGTCATTTAAAGTAAAACCATAGTAACTACTGAAAATAAAGCATAGTTTTACTATAGCATTTGAAGTAAAACTGTAATAACTACAAAATAAAGCATCGTTTTACTACGAAATTTAAAGTAAAATTGCAGTAACTGCGAAATGAAGTATGGTTTTACTACAAAATTTGAATTTAAACCATAGTAACTATATAATGAAGCGTTGTATTTGAAGTAAAACCCTAGTAACTACCAAATAAAGCATGGTTTTACTTTGGCATTTGAAGTGAAACTGTAGTAACTACAAAATGTATTATAGTTTTACCATTGCATTTGAATTAAATCATAGTAACTTTAAAATTGACCATGGTTTTACTATGTCATTTAAAGTAAAAGCATACTAATTGGTTAGTATAGAAGCATAGTTTATTTAATTTGAAGCCATTTGAAGTAAAACTGTAGTAATTACAAAATAAAGCATGGTTTTACTACAGCATTTGAAGTAAAACTGTAGTCAGTACAAAATTAGCCATACTTTTACTATGGGATTTGAAGTAAAACCATAGTACCTACCAAATAAAGTATGATTTTAGTACGGCATTTGATGTAAAACTGGTGATTACAAATTAAGTGCTTTTACTACAGCATTTAAAGTAAAACCATGGTAACTGATTATTGCACAGGTGTGCCTTAGTCTGGCCACAATAAAAACAGTAGTAAATGCAAAATGAAGCATGTTTTTGTGGCCAACCTAAGACACGTCTGTGCAATAATCATGATGTCTATTCAGCAGCTCACTAATGCAGATTTAGGGGCTGTTTACATCTGATCACTTTATGCATTTTTTTCCAGATCAGATCCCCGTCTGATCATGATTTGGACAGGTGTAAATGCCCTCTGAAATGCATTTGTGGTAGATATAAATCATTCAGAGCACTTCAGGAGGTGGTTTCAAGACAAAACTGGACAGTTCTACGTGCATCTGGTGTTCGAAACTACATGTGTACATTTTACTTCCTTCAAAATTAAATAAATAAACAGTAATTATAATAACAATCCACAATAAAGGCACATTTTAGTCACATTTGTTTATTTTTATAGATTTTTGTATGTATATATTTTAGTTTTTGTCCTTTTTTAAAGAGTATTTGAGAGAAAAAATCTATTGTTTAGATTTAGAGGTGAGGCAGTGGCGCAGTAGGTAGTGCTGTCGCCTCACAGCAAGAAGGTCACTGGGTCGCTGGTTCGAACCTTGGCTCAGTTGACATTTCTGTGTGGAGTTTGCATGTTCTCCCTGCCTTCACGTGGGGTTTTCTTTGGGTGCTCCGGTTTCCCCCACAGTCCAAAGACATGCAGTACAGGTGAATTGGGTAGGCTAAATTGTCCGTAGTGTATGAGTATGTGTGTGTGGATGTTTCCCAGAGATGGGTTGTGGCTGGAAGGGCATCCGCTGCGTAAAAACTTGCTGGATAAGTTGGCGGTTCATTCCGCTGTGGCGACCCCGGATTAATAAAGGGACTAAGCCGACAAGAAAATGTTTAGATTTAGTAATTAGCACACAGACTTAACGGTTAAAACCAACAAATCCAGTTATATTGAATCATTAAGTTTGTGTTCGGTCTGCAGTTAACTAAGAAGCAACCCTAAAAGAAACCAGGAAGCCATTGCAGAGTCTTTTCAAGCAGTATTTAGTGTGTGTGGCTCATTAATCCCTCATTTAAATTGGATAAGCGCTAATCTGATGCTGTTAATGGTGTTTTAATCTGCCAGATTTACCGCGGTATCTCATAGTGCTCTTTCTGTTTACCACGGCCTGACGAATTGCAGCAGGGAAAAAAGTCATCTCATGGTATAAAAGCATGGATGTCTGGTTGAATTCACCATCTAGGGCCCTTTTTGCATAGTTGTAGTGTTTGGGAATTATTTTTAGCCGGTGTTTATGATAACAGACACTGATAATAACTCTCTAGTGCTTGCCCTTTTCTAAGCATTTATGATATCAACACAAAGAGGACTTCATGTGCTTCTCAACACAGAAACAAAAACTTATTCTGCTTCTTTTTTACTTTATTTTATTTTATTTTATTTCATTTTGTTTGATTTGATTTTTAATTTCTTTCTTTCCAGATTTTCAAAACTCCTTAAAATGATCTTTTAGCAGTTTCTTTCATCTGTTCTTTCTTGCCAAATTGTAAATAAATAAATAAATAAATGAATAAATGAATAAATAAATAAATAAATAAATAAATGAATAAATGAATAAATAAATAAATAAATAAATAAATAAATAAATAAATAAATAAATAAATAAATAAATAAATAAACACACAAATAAATAAATAAATAAATAAATAAATAAATGAATGAATGAATAAAATGGGTGATACGGTAGCTCAGTAATAAACACTGTGAGGTGGGTTTCAATTCCCATAGGGGAATTGATAAACTAAATTGGCCGTAGTGTATCAGTGTGTGTGAGTGTGTAGGGGTGTTTTCCAGTACTGGGATGCAGCTGGAAGGAAAATGAAT